CTGAAGGTCACTGTCGGTACTTGTCTCTTGTACTGGGGTGTCGCTTACATATTGCCACATGTCAACTAAAGCTGAGATGGAGATCCAAGAGAACATTGGCTGGCAAGCATCGGTAGCTTGGTCAACCTCTCTTCTGAGGGCCTCTCTCTCCTTTTCTAAATCACGAACCCATGGATCAAAAAGCTGGTAATAACACCCTAACATTTCCAGAATGACTCCCACTGCCAGCATCCAGAAGCAGCAAGTTTTGAGTGCAATAATGCAAGGCATTTTCATGACTCTTATGCTTACGAGTAATGAAGTAGTGTAGTGAAACTCTTGAAACTCTTCAAAGGTTACTAATTTCAATCATATATTAATATAAAAAATTATGAACCATTATACTAAATATATCAATATATTGAAAAAACAGTCATCTTCAAATTTTCAGTTAATAATGGAGTGTGTGTATAGAATTTATTTATATGGAAGAGAACTGAAATTTAATAGTTTAACAGTGTAAGTGTTTTGTAAAGTGAGATGTAGTATAATGCCTAGTGATAGTACAGTGTTGCCCAATGATAATAAGTAGTTTTTAGTGATAGTGTAGTATAGTGCTACTCCTTACTTATGCCCCTACTGGCCCATACTAGGTAGGTCTTTATAAAACTCGATTCTACCAAAAAAAATATTTGTCCAACCCATTTTCAATGCTACCTATGAATAAATTTTGATTCTGGTTATGTCAAGCCTAGACGCAATTATGTCTAGCCTGGACGTAGTTATGTCCAGCCTGGACGTGGTTATGTCTAGCCTGGACATAGTTACAACTAGTCTGGACACAGTTACGTCTAGCCTAGGCGAAGTTACATCTAGCCTAGGCGTTGTTACATCTAGCCTGGGTGTAGTTACACCTAGCCTAAAGGTACGTACATAGTTACATCTAGCCTGGACATAGTTACGATCTCTCCACATTAATATAAATATAAACTGTATTTAAATAAATTAAAGACACTTCTACTTCTCAAATGATTCGTTGGGATTTAAATAATTACATGTACGTAGTTTATTTATGGTGTACGTCTTGTCTCCATGTAGGTTATTATTGAGCAAAGGTATTGTAATATGTATATATCTCCTCAACAACATAATTTGAACAAAAAATATCTTAATGTCAACAAAGGAAATGAGTATAAATAAAACTCCTAAATCATAATTCCCTAAACAAAAATATTTTTTTCTTCATTAAAAAATTATTTGACTCACACACAGACACCGTTGTGTCTTTTGTTTTTACCACTGGTGAGGCTTTTCACCTTGGCCATGTTCACACATTTTTTATTCATCTTTGCCTTCACATGGTCATTGATTTTGTATATACCTTTTTGGTTATGGGCACCTCGGAGGGCAGTTAATCTGTAGGCTAGTTCAAAGTCATCAATTATTTCTATTTCATTAATTTTCTTCTTGCTATTTTTTTGCTTACTATTTAATCCGGTCTGGTCCTGGTCAGTTTTCTCCGATGCATTGTTTCTGTGACGTCTGTTACATTTGCTTGCTTTTGGCTTTCCTACCATAGCCATCTTCAGTGTATCACCAGTTCCTCTCCTCCAGAGTCTGACTGGTGCAATCAGTCCCATGATACTCATTGTAATTGACATGAGGACACACAAAACAGTCGTTGTGAAGGGAGTAGAGGAACACTCATGACAGAGTGATGTCACCTCAAGAAGAAGTGTTTTAAGATCTTGGATTTCCATATAACATTCATAAGCAGTGATGACGCGACCAAAGACGGGCAGCCCCCTTGGATCAAACTGAAGGTCACTGTCGGTACTTGTCTCTTGTACTGGGGTGTCGCTTACATAATGCCACACATCAACTAAAGCTGAGATGGAGATCCAAGAGAACATTGGCTGGCAAGCATCGGTAGCTTGGTCAACCTCTCTTCTGAGGGCATCTCTCTCCTTTTCTAAATCACGAGCCCATGGATCGAAAAGCTGGTAATAACACCCTAACATTTCCAGAATGATTCCCACTGCCAGCATCCAGAAGCAGCAAGTTTTGAGTGCCATAATGCAAGGCATTTTGATGACTTATGCTTACGAGTAACGAAGTAGAATAGTGAAACTCTTGAAACTCTTCAAAGGTTACTAATTTCAATCATATACATGTATTAATATAAAAAATTATGAACTATTATACTAACTATATCAATATATTGAAAAAAATAGTCATTTTCGAACTTTCCGTTTATAATGGTGTGTGTGTATAGAATTAATTTAATTATATGGAAAAGAACTGAAATTTAATAGTAACAGTGTAAGTGTTTTGTGATGTGAGATGTAGTATAATGTCTAGTGATAGTAAAGCGTTGCCCAGTGATAAGGAGTATTCTGTTAAGTGATGGTGTAGTATAGTGTTCCTCCTTTCTTTTTGTCTTACTGGCATATATTAGGCAGGTCTTTATAAAACTGAATTCTACCAGTTTTCGTTAATTTCACATTTCGTCAGGCTCTCTGGAACAGAGTAATGATGAAAAGGGAGGGTCCACTCTACCTGGCTCCCTACCTTCATGCTCTTGTGTGTGAACAGTTGATACTCCAAGTCGGATTGAAACATTATAAACTTGTTTCTCCTATGTGTAGATTATTTGTGTCTTGTTCCAATTATGGTATTGCGCCTCTTTATTGTTTTTAAGATTTTTCAGTCTTTGTATACTGTATATACCATAAATACATGAATTAGTGCTTCCATATTTATCTCTTTCATTGTCTAGACCCCCCAAATTAATATGTTCTCGGTGTTCACTTTTTTTTTAATAAAAAAAAATATTTTTTTCTTCTCAATTTATAGAGAATCTTTTTCTGAAGGTAATGACAAAAAAGTACGAAATCTGGTGGAAAACTTATGGAATTATGCAGTTGCAAACTTAGCGGTCTCAGCACAATTTAGGCATCAGACAAGGTGAACAAAGACTGGATGTTCCAGAGATGGGGGACAGAAACAAGGGGTCACAAATGGAAGCTGAAGACTCAGATGAGTCAAAGGGATGTTAGGAAGTATTTCTTCAGTCATAGAGTTGTCAGGCAGTGGAATAGCCTAGAAAGTGACGTAGTGCATGCAGGAACCATAAGTAGTTTTAAGATGAGATTTGATAGAGCTCCTGGAGCAGGGAGAGAAGCAGGGCCAGGAGCTATAACTCGACCCCTGCAACCACAAACAGGTGATTACAAAGTGTCACTGATGTGCATAGTAAACAAAGTAATGGAGAAGATTATCAGGAGGAGAGTGGTGAAGCACCTGGAATGGAACAAGAGTATAAACACCAACCAGCACAGATTTATGGAAGGCAAATCCTGTGTCACAAACCTACTGGAGTTTTATGATAAAGTAACAGAAGTAAGACACAAGAGAGAGGGGTGGGTTGATTGCATCTTCTTGGACTGCAAGAAGGCCTTCGACACAGTTCCTCACAGGAGATTGGTGCAGAAGCTAGAGGAACAGGTGCGTATAACAGGAAGGGCGCTGCAATGGATTGGAGAATACCTGACAGGGAGGCAACAACGAGTCATGGTACGTGATGAGGTATCACAGTGGGCACCTGTGACGAGCGGGGTCCCACAGGGGTCGGTCCTAGGACCAGTGCTATTTCTGGTATATGTGAATGACATGATTGAAGATTTAGACTCAGAAGTGTCCCTGTTTGCAGATGATGTGAAGTTAATGAGGAGAATTAAATCAGATGAGGATCAGGTAGGACTTCGAAGAGACCTGGACAGGATGGACACCTGGTCCAGCAACTGGCTTCTCAAATTTAACTCCACCAAATGCAAAGTCATGAAGATCGGGGAAGGGCAAAGAAGACCGCAGATAGAGTAGGGCTAGGTGGCCAAAGACTGCAAACCTCGCTCAAAGACAAAGATCTTGGGGTGAGTATAACACTGAGCACATCTCCGGAAGCACACATCAACCAGATAACTGCTGCAGCATATGGGCGCCTGGCAAATCTGAGAATACCGTTCCGATACCTTATTAAAGAATTGTTCAGGACACTGTACAACGTGTACATCAGGCCCATACTGGAGTATGCAGCACCTGTTTGGAAACCACACTTGATCAAGCACGTCAAGTAATTAGAGAAAGTGCAGAGGCTTGTGACAAGGTTAGTTCCAGAGCTAAGGGGAATGTCCTACGAAGAAAGGTTAAGGGAAATTGGCCTGATGACACTGGAGGACAGGAGGGTTAGGGGAGACTTGATAACAACATACGAAATACTGCGTGGAATAGACAAGGTGGACAGAAACAGGATGTTCCAGAGAGGGGACACAGAAACAAGAAGTCACAATTGGAAGTTGAAGACCCAGATGAGTCAAAGGGATGTTAGGAAGTACTTCTTCAGTCATATAGTAGTCAAGAAGTGGAATAGCCTAGCAAGTGAGGTAGTGGAGGCAGGAACCATACATAGCTTTAAGATGAGGTATGATAAAGGTCATGGAGCAGGGAGAGAGAGGACCTAGTAGCATTCAGTGAAGAGGCAGGGCCAAGAGCTGAGTCTCAACCCCTGCAACCACATTTAGGTGAGTACACACATATATATATAAATAATAAAATTAACAGTAATAATTAAAACAATTGAAGTATTCTAATATTCAATGCAAAAGAGTTGTTGTACACAGATGTCTACCTGACAGCCACTGACGAGTTTGGAAGTAATGTGAGCCACTCCATGATGCTAGGAATAGGTTCAATAACCATGGTCACAAGGCATGTGAACATGCCAATTGTTTCAAGATCTTGGTCCTCATTACTATGCACAAGTGTTTAAAATTTGAAGACAACTGGAGAATGATGCATTATTGAGTTATGAACAAAATAAAATTTAAAAGTTGGAGAAAGAAAAAAAATTCAGGCAATCTATAAAGGTACCCTTTCAGGGACACACAATAATATGTACAGCAATTCACTGTTGCAAGATATGCTTAATACAGTTAACTGCATAAATCGAGAGAGCAACCCACCTCGCCTTTCTTCAAGAGGTAACCTTCTTTGTCAATCTGTGTTGGAGATACACTGTAAGCACACAAATTTTTTTCATTGATCTTCATCTTGAAATGAAACAGTTGTCAAATCTTGAAAAGTGAAGCATCTAGTCCAGGTAGACTGTCAGGGCAAAAACACTGAATTTTAATACTCTACTGCATTTAATGTGTATAAACCAATAACATCAATGCAAAACCTAACCATAAAGGTGGGGAACTGATTGGAAGACATGCCATGAATTTTCAATAATCTTGTTGCATTGTCAGACAATTCAAACTACATTTTTTTAAATATATGAAAAAAAAAATGTACGTAAAAATATGGAAAAACTCTAATACTGAGGTAAAGTGGCTTTTAGACTACAATAACTCTCACAAATGGTTGTTTTGGGCCCAAAAGTATCAGTTTTGGGGGCATATTTTAAAAATTAATGAAACGGCATCAGCAAAATTAAGTATCATATTCATCAGTAATTTTTATATTGGTAACAGCATCAGTACGGCTAAAACTGAATATCAGTAACAGAAAAATTTACCAGAGTTCATCCATAGTTCAAATCCAGGGAACCAATCCAAAACCCGAAACCCAGGGCTCACCCAGGTTATCCAAATTTTAAATTTAAATTTTTGTTATCATGATCTTGTAAGTCAGTAATTTGAGACTGTATCCTGAACTAAATCTGACATCAAATTTAGTACAAAAAAAACCCGCACATAGAAAAGTTTACGACAACTTTTTGGGGTCCAACTTGACTTTGCAAAGTCACACAAACAAAAAGGGAAGGAGGGGGGAGTTATGTAGGCGGGAGGGGGTAGTGGTAGTATGGAGGTAAAAGGTAATGGAGGAAAAAGGGTAGTGGGAGGTAAAAGGTAGTAGTAGAGGGAAAAGGTAGTATGGAGGAGGAGGAGGAGCCAGCAAATACTAAAAAAGAGGGCACTGCAAGGGAGCTAGGGTGCCAAAAAGGGGGAAAGACAAGAACACGGGGAGGGGGGAAAATAAAATAAATAAATAAAAATGAAGGAAAAAAATACCCAAGGAAAGAAAAGGAAAGGAAAGAGGAAAGGGGAAGGGGAAAGAAGAAAAAGGAGGAATCAGGTTAAGCACGCAGTGTGACTTTGTAAATGGTCCAATAGGACCGAAATTCAGAACTCCTCTCTTCTATGGGGGGTTTTTTGTGTATCTTCCAGTCATGGTTTGTGCCTTTTTTTGTTTTCAGAAGTAGCCTATCGTAAAAGTTTAAAAAAAAAAAAAAAAAAAAAATTCATTACAGTACCCCCCCCGTTTTTTGTTAAAATCCTTCCAGAGGCGCCGATTTGGCAAAATTCAAAATTGGCGAATTTTTTTTTCCCCAAAGAAATACGGGGCCCCCCCCGGCAAACGATACATTTTAATGCAAAAATTTTCCCTCGCCCATCGATTTGTCAGAGCGCATCCCATTTGGCCTCGCGCCAGTTTTCAAAGCCACTAGGAGGTCGCATCACGCATCATTCGTACTTTCCCCTTTTCCCCGTGTTTTTTGTGCTTGTAACTACAAAATAAGTCCCGGGGCCCTAAGAAAGTTTCTAGTGCATCCCGTGGAAAAAGGGTGAAATTAGTAGGAATTAAAAAAAGTTTAAAGGGAAAATTTGGGGCAAAGTGGCTAGGTGCAACCTTTAGGGATGAAAATCACCCTCACACGCTATTGCAAGCCGTCTGGTGACTATTAAAATCAATTTTTGTGAACCACTTTAACAAATCATAAAGGAAACGGGGTACAGGCCTCATGGACAATTTTTTTGTGCGACACAATCCCTGACTCTCAAGCAGGTCCTAGGGCTTTAAAAAAGAAAAGGGAATAACCCTGGAAAAAAGGGCTTGATCCTCAAGTCCCAAGGAAGGGGATTTTCCATCTAAAAAATAAGTTCGAACTCCTCCCCTCCCCCCCAAACCCATCAAACATCACCAGTTTCATTAAAGGTAATGTATGTATTTTTTTGTTTAGAGTACACTTACTGGCATGTTTTTTCAGTTTGTGTGCTTAAACTTAAATTTGATTGCGGGAAAAATTTTTTTTTTTTTTATACTTTTGGTGTCTTGCATGGGGTTTTAAATTTGGGTTTCCATATTTCTTATGGGGGGAAATTTAAATTTGCCTTTCAATAAATTCCCGCATACAATGACCTTTAGGGAAAGGGGTTAATATCGTAACCGGGGGTCCACTGTAATGGAAACCCCAATTTAAACCCTTCAGACAGCCAAAAGATAACAAAAGAGAATTTTTTTTTAAAAATTAAAAATAGATTTACATACAGAAAAAAATGACAAATAAAAATAAAGCACTAATAAAATGGGAAAAAGAAAATTTAACATCACACTTAAAACCCTTTGTAATGAAAGGGTTTAGAGAACCGCATGTTGATAAATTAATACATGTGCAACTCTGGGTATCTTTATTGAGGAAACTTTCGCCACACAGTGGCTTCATCACCCAAAAATAGAATCTTAAGAACAGGGGGGGAATGAGGGTTTTCAGTCCCTCAACCTTTATCGATGTGGTTTAGTCCATCAACTTTAAAAAATAGGCATATGGGCGGGGAAGGAGCTTTAAAAACCCTAGGCAGGAAGGCAGCGTTGTTGGGTGTGGGGCACATTTGTTCAAGATTCTCCTTTGTATGGCTGTGAAGCCATGTTGGTGAAACGTTTCCCAAAAAGAAAACCCAAAAATTTAAGTTTAATTTTACAAATGGTTTTGAAATTTTACAACCCCCAGGGACCTTTAACTTTCTTGGGAAAACAGGGACCCCGCAAGACCCTGAAGGATCAAATTATTAATAGGTTTGTAGGATGGGGGTTGAAATGGCAATCTCTCACAATATTCCTAAGGGAAAAATGGTCGTACTGGCACTAAATACTTTGGGGTGAAAAATACGTTAACCGGGGGCACTTATTGGGAATTTTTCGCTTTCCCTAACCTTGGGAAAATATTCCCCATGAAAAAATGGACCCCCCCAACTGCACACCTCCCTCCTACAGTATAAAAGCTCCTTTTGCCCAATATGGGAGTATTCTATCAAAATTGTGGGCTGAAACCCCTCGACCAAGTTGAGGGACTGATTCCCTTTTTCCTCCCGTTCTTCAAGATTCTTTCTTTTTTAGCCCTAGCCATGGTTCCAATGAATAAAAGAAATGCTTTTCATTATGTAAAGCACTTACACAGTACATTATCCCTTAACCCTTTGACTGTTTCAGGCCCCTCTCTGAAACTGTCATTTTATGTCGCTCAATTTTTGAAAAAAAAAAAAAAATTATTTTTTCTTATAAAAATGATAGAGAATCTTTTTCCCGATGGTAATGACCCAAAAGTTCAAAATTTGGTTAAAACTCGTGGAATTATGCTCCCGCGAAGTTAGCGGTCTCGGCGACATATGCGAAATCGGCGATTTCGCCGACTTTGAGCCCTATTTTCAGCCAATCCATTGTTCCAGTTGACCAAACTCAAAGCTATTTCTTTAGAACTCCATTTTATCTATCACTAGTACAAGAAACCTCCCATTTACTAATTTGGACTACCCCAATATGGTGGTCAGAAATTGGCAATTTGGCCAATTTCACGCAAAATAAAAAAGATGCCAATTTCAAAATAGGGCCAAATAAACAAGGTAGACATTCGTGGCATTTAAAATTTAACATTATGCTCTGTTCATTAGTCACATCTCTAGGCCCTCTTATATTATTATTGATTTCTATTTTGATTTTTTATTCATACAAAAAAAATCCCAAAATTTACTGTATGCAGACGACTGCATTATTGTAAAAATGGTATAAATAATATCAGTGCACTAGTGAAAGAATATTAGACTCCCCAGTTGACGTTATTGGACGTGTGTGTGATTTTTTTTACTCTTGAACATTGGTAAAAATCGAACATTTCCGCTACTTTGAGCTCAGTTTCAAGGTCGTTTTCATCGTAAAAGTAATGAAAATCATCTCTGTTTCTGTAATATGTTTTCCATTTTATCACCTAAGACCATGAAAACGCAAATACAACGATAAATACTATACGAAAATACACATCAAAGTCGGCGTTTTATTCCAAAAAAACGATCAGAGTTTTTTTTTTCTCATTACGTAATGTGTGCTGCAGGATTTTTTTTACGTGGTGCACACTGACCACACAGACCCATTCTCTCACATGTGGGCCTACCAGCTTTCTCCCACTTGATTTGAAGCCGCTAGAATTATTGAGTATATATACGTCAAAAACATTGGCTCGTAAGACGTATTTATACGTCGAAAACAGTCAAAGGGTTAAAGATAAGGTGACTTTGAAGCCACTGTGGGTTGCCATGAGCTCAGTCTCATGAATCAGGAGAATATGCTTTATTATTATGGTAATATGAACACTACAGCTTATTTGCCTATCACAATTGATCTAATATGACATAAGAAACAATATAAATAACATAAAACATGTTAAATACTCCAGAATGAATAATATTTGGCATAACACCGAGCAGTTCGACAGAGTTATGAAGAGGATATGGTAAACAAATACCATTCTCCTATCCTTGTCTTGGGGGCTTATATTAGAGAAAACGGAGTGTAGCACAGGGCTATGATATACACTCATACTCCACCATAAACATGAAACAAAAAAGTTATTTTCTCTCTATAGATTATCACACATAGCAGCATATGTGTAGAGAACCTAGGATAACCCCAAAAAAGTCAACGTGGCTTATTTTTAGTACCTGGCTTGGGTTAGCCATATATGATTTTTGGTAAATATTCGATTCCCAGCCACAGTAGAAACATTAGGCGTGTTTCTTTACACCTGTTGTCTATGTTTACCAATCAGTAAATGGGTACCTGGGTGTTAGTCGACTAGTGTGAGTGTTATCCTGGGACACTGACCTAATTTTCTTGAAATACTCAGCATAACAAGTGCCTTTCTATACAGTAGTATGTCACTGATGTCAGCTAGGCCTGTATACCTTGTACTTATTTTGCAGGTACAATCACTAAAAACGCTGTGATAATATGAAATGTTCCGATTGTATGCGTGGATGCGACCGCACTGGCTGGCTTGTAAACACTGGCACCCATGGGACAACTGAGGCGTGCTCAGGCCACACGTGGAC